ACACCTATAATCCATCAACAATTTTAAATCTATCCCATCCAAACCCTGCTTGTACTTTTCAAAAATAGTGGCAATTTTTCCCACTCACACTGAGTTCTACTTCTCGAATGTTAGAGGTTAGAGATGACATACGGTACCTCTGTTGCTTTTCCATGCAAACACGGCAGGCAGAGTGTGAGCCTCACTCCTGGAGCTCTGTCAGAGCCACACAGCATGCAGCTCTATCATCCTTACTCTGGGCAGGGCCATCCACTCCGCTGCCAGTTGTCATGCTGCGGCTGCGACTAGTCAGCTTCTTGAGCTCACTGGCAAAGGAGATGACTTTTTTTTTGTCCTCCCTCACCACCTGGGAACAGAAGTGAATCCGTGTAAAAGAGATGCATTTACAGCATAAGAAATGTGCCAGTAGAGCCTGAGCAGACTCATAAGAGCTGAGAAAACACCAATGTACATGATCCCCTTTACTTCTTTCTATTTCTTCAGATTTTGTCTCAAGACAGACGAAAAAACTTAAACAAATAGAGCTTACAGAGGCATTAGACCTTTATTTAGCAAGGCAGGACATTTAAACACATTATTTCCAGGCTGTCAGAGCGAGAAAAAAACAAAACAAACAAAAATCGAGCGCAAAACGATGACAAATAGATAAAACGCTAAAAGCATTAAAACATGCAGAGCTACATAAGCATATTAGTAACAAAGCAGATGGAAAACACTACAAAGGAAATCAAAAAGCAAAAAAGCAAACACAAAACAGATGAAAGATTTGGTAAATAAGGGTCACAGGAACGGGTTATTTCATGTAGGCAATTAAGCATGCTAAAACACGTTGGTGAGCAAGCAACAGCGTACTGAGCAGGAATTAGACATGCAGCGATTATCAAACTCTGGGCCAACACTCATACTGATGTTTTTAACACCCATTTGGCCTTCTGGCTCTTCATCACTATTAACCAGCACAAAAAAGGATGCAACTCAGCAGATAAATATCAGTTGAGTTATATTGGTCATCCTATTGGCTGATACAACAAGGCTGTTATCACCAATATAGATGTTTGCCCGATGTATCGCTGCATCCCCAGAAAGAACAGCATGTTAGAAAGATGGTGGCTGAGAGCAAAGTTGCGCATATAAAACAGTCTCCTTTGTGGATGTGCACAAGGAAAGCAAAAAAACAAAAATGTTCTTTAAAAGTATTGCTACAATAAACATAAATATTAAATAAAACTAAGAAAAAAAACCTAAAGAGTCTCTAGGACTAGAAATTGGTCGTCGTGCTCAGAGCTACCTGCTCTTTGAGTTTAAGAATAAACTTTCCCGCGCCCCGCCAGCGGCTCTGAGCTTGGTAGACACACTCGTGATCCAGCAGCACTCGCTGAAGAGGCTTGGTGGACGAGGACTTCTTAGAGCCGACGTCCTTGGTCACTTCCTCCATCAACACGTAGTCGCATGGATTGGGGTTAGCGAGGATGCTGTAGGAATACTTAGCCTTTGACAGAGTCTGGCCAAAAAACGAAGAAAATTGAGAAATATTGATGAAAATATTAGGATGTGCTTTCTGCTGTGACTCATGCTTGTTTATATAATGTGTTTGTTTTTCCTGGACTCACCTGCTGTATGATATCCTGAGCCGTGCTGTAGCGTGGAGCTTTGATGACAGTGTGAGGCTGTTCGGGTGAAACTTCATGGACCTGGACAAAGAACATATCATCCTCCCCTCCTCCTCCTCCCGCTCCTTCTCTGCCTGCCACAGTCACCTCCTCCTCTCCCTCCACCACCGTGTTCTTCTCATTCAAGTTCTGCAGCAATTAAAAGCAACAGTAACAGTCAAACAGTGCATGACACAACCACAAGGGGGAGCCAGAGTCTGCAAAATAGCCTTCACAAAAGCTTTTGAGAAACAGCTTATTACTCTAACTGCATCTACTAAACATGTGTACCTCCTCTCTAGTTTTGAGGCACAGTCTCCTCACATATCCCTCCTCAGTGTTCCAGCTGGACACCACCCTGACCACCTCCTCCTCAGGTGCTAGAGCTCGGTGCTGCGGGGAGCGTTTCACCTCGCTGCGTTCCTTCAACAGGGGAACCTTCTCCTCACACAAAAAGTATTCGGATGGGTGTCCCGCTGACCCCACGACCTGTAGGGAAGAGAGATAAAGCTTAAAAGTGTGTGACTCCCGTGACTGCCGCCTTTATAAATGCTCCACAGATTCTACAGCACTGACCACGTCCAGCAGCTGTTTGGCGGTGGTCTGCTCGGTAACACAGAAAACAGTGAAGGGTTCAGGACCGGGAGCGCAGTGCACTGTCACCCTGTGCTGCTGGGACGCATGCTTCTCCTCAGAACTGAACAGCTGTTTCGGGAGTCCGAGAGATGTAAGGCAGCAGGTCATTATAAAAACACATTGAATCCCAGATGTTCCCACTTACTTTCTCCACTTTCTCTGAATTTATTTGGATTGCAAAGCATTATTTAGTGCGCCTTAAAGAAGTTTCTTAAAATTACAGTAACACGAAGAAGTCAAATCTGATCTACAGTTTTTCTTAAAAGCAGCAAACCTGAATAAATCTTACCAAAGATGAGGCAGTAGCGCCCCCTGCTGGACCTTCCTCTGTTCTGTGGCTGTAGATAAATAAGCTGGAGACTTCAAGAGACTCATTGTGCTGTGTTCTCAACTGTACATGTCTGTAACCTACAACACAAACACATAAAAACAAAAAATTGAACGGTCTTGAAAACCTTTTAGTGGTTTGAAATAGACTGATTACATCATATTTTTATTGGTGTATAAAAGCCCCATCTACAGCCTGGAGACAAAGTTTTATCAGATGTACATTATCTGGTATTTGTACCTGGTTTGAGGGCTTTAAGTGGGAGAGTCCTCTGAGCTGTGGTCTGGGAACTGTTGTTCTCCACCACGGCAAATCGCAGGAAACACATCTCTTCAAAATGCACAGTGAACTGAAAGTGTTCGTTCCACATGGGGTTGAGGGTGTTGCGGTGGATCGGTTTGGTACGGAAGTGGCAGCTGTCGACGGGCATGCCCAGAACATCCAGCTCGATGCAGGGGCTGCCGGCACTGTTACTGGGACAAACGTTCTGCCCGGACACAATCTGAGCAGAAAAGAGCAGTGGAGGTGTCATATCATTAAAGACTATTAGACGACCCAAGAATATAAGAAAGAATGTTCTTTTACCATTTCTTAAAGTTACCTAATTCTCCAATATACACACACACACACAAACTAAACATGTGTATTCAATGTGTATGATATCATTTAAGATAACAGATATATATACAAATTACTTTTACTTTATTGTAATTAAAAGCAGTAAAATAAAAATCTACCAATTATTAAGATTAAGCGTTTTTTTGAGTTATAACAAACCTGTATGAGACCCACAAACAGTATGTAAAGATATACCATCAAAATGTGCACTGATATTAATTTTACTTCATTTAACAGTTTTGTAAAAATGTAACTTCCGTGGCAGACCCTTAAGCATCTTAGCATATTTATACTCGTTATATTATTAATATATTGAGCACTTTAATGCACTGCAAAGATGCAGGTATGTCGGTGAGTTTTAAGTTTTAAAGGCCTAGAGAGTTCAAAAACTGCACCATATACAGTAGATGAAGATTGAAATGAATGTAACAAATTCATATGGATTTCCCATTATTTTTAAATAAATATTCAAATATTTATGGGATATTTATGAATACTTAAAATGCAAACTGGAAATTCAGCCATTATCAGGTCCTCAGTTGAACTCACATGTAGGCTTTAGGCTTCAGTAGCTTCAGATGTGGGTCCACCTGAGTGGGCATGACACTCACTCGCTTGCTGTGTGCTCACCTGACGACTACCTGCTACCGAGACCTGTCTGCATTTGTACTAGGCAGCTGACAAGACTGTTTAATGTTGGATATGACTATGTCAGGTGTTTGAGCTCTAACACGTAGCTGTGGCATTTAATGTCGAGCAAAGTTCAGGGCTGAAGGGTGAAGAGGACATTCTTCCTAACTCACTGTGAGGGAGTAGACAGCAGGGCTCATTTTCTCCACATCCCGCTCCATCGGACAGAACTGCTGATAAAGTGGACAGCTACGGTCCCATAACACTGCCGGCTTCAGTACGTAGCCACATCCTCCGTTGGCCTCAAATAGCGCCGTGTTCAACTGCATGGGCAGGTCTGGGGAGGATACAGAGAGTATGTTTTTCTAAAACAGGTCATAAAGAGCGCTACGTCGTTTGGATACTGTCAGTTGTTTGACAATTTAAAATCGTTCTTGTCTATTTGCTGGTGTAGAAGACAAGAGATTTTCCTTTAAACAAAACGTCCACGTTTAAGTGAGTGCATGCACGAAAAGTCTCACCAAACCTAATATGATTTTTTTTTTCCACCGCAGTAAAAAAAAAAGAAAAAAAAGAAAAGGGCTGCAATACAATGATAAAACTGTCATTTCTTCCTTATGATCCTCTGGCTATTACAGTGTTATATTAAATTCTGAAGTGCTGTTTGTCAGAAGTGAACGGCCCTTCATACAGACATACGCTCACCATCAGTCTGATAATTGAGTGCCACCAGCTGGATGCCATGCTGCCAGAAAAGCAGAGGGTTGGGGTTGGTTGAGTCGATCCTGGTGGCCGCCGGGTAGGTTCTGAGCAGCTGGCACTCCGTGTGCTGGATGAGCTTTTGAGAGTAACGGCGGCACAGGCGCTTGGCGGCGTTCTCGTTGACGGAGGAGATGTGGTAACACTTTGGCGTGCGGATGATGGCGCTGAGTGAGGTGGAGGGGTTGAGGACAGGAGACGTTTGCTGCTCCTCCCAGCTGAGTCGCTCTGAACCACCTGAGCGACAGAGACACTTTTAAAGGCCATGAAAACTTCTCCATTAAGTGATGTGGGTCCTACATGATTTAAGTTAGGGTAAAACAGCATTAACTAAAAACTTTGGCAGTTTTACAGCGTGTTTCACGTTTCCCATATGCACCCGCACACATAAACCTCTGCTAACGCCGAGTTCCTCGGGCCAGGCTCACCTTTCCCAGGGGTGCGGCTCTGGGTCGTGACCTCCCCTGTTGCGCTGCTGCGAGAAGGAGCCGTGCCAAATATGGACTTCCTGCACTTTCCTCGGTCCTTCCCCCTGCTAGAGCCAGCCGGAGACAAAGTAGAAAGGCCTGGGTTCCCACACAGAGGAAGCAGACAGAAGAGAAGAGTCATTAATGAAAGGCAGACAGACTAGAGACACCACAAGTATCCCAAGAGTCTCTTCTTAATCGTAATTTGCTTGAAAAAACCAAAACATATCAGAGCCATTTTCTTTCAGTATTCACTTGAAGGGAATTTAATTTGAAAACTTACATCTGCCATAAAAAGGTGTTTTATGATCTATATTTTGGGCTTCATGTTCTGTAAAGCATCTCAAAAGTTGTTTGCCATTAAGGCCATGAAATTAATCATCTATCAATGGAGAGGAATAGCATGCAAATGATGTCCTACTTCTTATTTAGCAACAGTACTCTAGTCTCCCTTCTGAAAATACTTCAGATGAGAAATGCCCTTTTCATTTTATGAATGGTGAGTGCTTTTAAATTGATTCAGACACTTGTACATAAGTGGCACGTTCATCTAAAGATCACTCCCGACTACACAAAGCTGCAACCAGTCTGCTGCCTGTCCGAATTGGACCACTTGCCCTACTTCCTCTTTCTCATATCTCGGGTCCCTGGAAACGGTAAACAAACAGAATACCAGTGGAAACACAGGCAAGTTTATAAGGGCAGATGTCAGTTAAAGAAAAGAGGAGAGAAACAGAAGAGGACGCTCGAGGGAAGAGGCGATAAGAGGTTGATGTTTAAGGGACAAAGAGAAATCTTTTCGAGATAAATGCAAGCATGCAATCAGGGCAGATTCCCGTAAACGGGCGAGATAAGATGTTTTATAAGCACATTTTTTTTAAAAAAGGAAAGAAAAAGAAATTTGAAGCCAACTCAAGCATTTCTCACTTTCTACTCATTGCAAGGAAATGAAAGTGCATGAGAGCTACAAGGGCGACATGACATGACACGACGAAGACCCTGGGTTCGAATTTGAACTGTACTCATCCATCAGGACATCCGCAAAACATTTTCTTACTGTCCGGCGTAAAATAACTTGTGTTGTTGTGCCGTTCGGGGAATAACAGCAAAACTAAGTAACTGTATCTTTTCCATGGGAGGAAGATGATTCATCATCTTAGTGGGTGTCCTGTGTGGGATAGGAATGGAGTGTAACACAGGGATATTGGATGTCTGAAAACACGGGGAAAGGTTTGACCTCTTAAATATAACATGGGAGTGGATTAGGGTGGGACAAGATCCAGAAAAAAAGAGAAATGAAATAGACAGCATTTAAAAATTAAAAGGAGAGAGGTGAAAGCAGAATATCGGTGGATAAAAGGAGACGGCATATATAGCAAAGATAAAGAAAAGTCTGTTCTGAGGAAATTCAAGGGAACAGGGAGATCTGTTTGGCAAAGAGACGGAGCGATCCCTACCAGGGAATTTCACAGCCTGGCAGTAGATGACAAGGTCGGACAGCTCCTGGGCGATCTGTCGACTCTCCTTCTTATTCTGGGGAAGGTAGAACTCCTCGCCGAGCTCCATGTCGAACACCTACAGGTGCAGACACACACGGGACATGGAGAGCACTGCTAACATTTCACTATATAAGTGTAAATGGAGTGCTGAATCAGAGGCCGAACCACACTCTGAACCTAACACGTATCTTATAAGAGGGAAGCAGCACGAAGGGCGACTTTCCTTGAGATTAGGTACATTTATATCTCTACCTTTCCTTTGCTCTGTGTAGTGCTATCAGCTTTCTTCATCCTTTTGGGTATTTCATCAGCAGGTTGCTCTTCTTTCTCGGCCGAACTCTTGCCTTCTGGCTTGTCATCGAGTATATTATCTATACAGAAGAGGGCAGCCAAAAAAACGGGTTTTAGTGACACCTGAGCTTTACACTGAGCTGACTGTACGGCAACATGCAGCCACCAAAATTAGCGAGCCTTATACCTGTCAATCAAGAAAGCAAAATCTGTGCTAATGCTTGCAATATGGACTCTGATAATGAAAGTATACTAAATGCACCATCCCCGATTCATATTTTTCATTGGTCAAAGCAGGCAAGTATATTTAAGGCAGAAACTGGCCTGTCAAAGATCCATAAATAACATTTGTGCACTGGAGCTGCTCCTGATATAGTGTACGTTAAATCACCAATAAGACATAGCATGCAAGGGAAGAAGGGAAGAAGAATATTTATCATCTGGGAATCTACTGCTTGTAAAAACAAAAGCAACTTAAAGGAGGATTTTTCTTGTTTTCTCGGAGAACAGAGTGGCCGCTAGATTTACCTGTTTCAAGTCATTCTGGTCACTCGCATTAAAAACTTAATAAAAGCATTTATATCATACTGACGACTGACTGTCCACGCTGATCCGCTTCACAGCTGGGAACAATTAAAAGAAGAATTTTTGGTTTTAGCTGAAACCCGTCACCTCGTAAATCTCTGCTGACCACTCGCACGGTTCAGGAGCACCGAAGCTAAAGCGCACAAAGGCCCCTTCCTCCTAATATTTAAAGCGATGTCTCTCAACTGTAAACAGGAGCAACAGCAGGGGAGTTCTTCCCATTCCTCCTACTCATTAATCGCAGCCAAAACCACAACAAACTTGAAAATGCAGACGCTTTTTATCACAGACAACGTGTTCAATTCTTGACATCTTCTTCTTTAGAAAAAGAACAAAAAGAAACAACTGTTTATCAGAAGGAGCTGACACTGAATATTTAAGCTATAGACAGCAGCCAGAGAAGTGAGCTGGACCAGACGGTGACTGGACGGGAGCCACTACTTATCGGGAGAGGGTGGCAAGTTGGCAGCTTAGTTCAAAAGTGTTTGTATTAGCTTGGCCAGCGCATGTGCCAAACGTTTATGGTGAAATGAAGACGTCAGGCTGGGGCGGGAATTGTTCGCTTGCCAATTTTAACATCCAGCGTCTGATATTACATAACAGCGGCACTAGGTATTAAGAAGCAAGGTTTAATCAATCTAAAGAGTTCAGATGAGAGAGATGGGTTTGTTTTTGTTTTTTTAATTGGTCCATGACCAGTAAGTTCCTGTGACAGAGACGAGCATAGTGGAGGAATTAGGAGCGAGCAGTGTTGGGACTGGGACAGGGTAGTTTCCCCTGGTCTGTTGTTTAGTGCAGGGGCAGCGCAGGGCCTGAGAAACCAGATGGCTTTGTTTTGTTTCCCTGATGAGCATGCCCAGCCACTGGCGAGGTCATGGACAAATACAGTACAGAGGGATGGAGGAAGGGAGGTGATGCGTTTGTGGGAGAAAGAGACATAATGCTGACCGTATATTGTTTGATCACATATAAAAAATATGTTTGTCTCTTTTTAACATGCTGTCCCGTCCAAGCACTGCATCTATACAACTGAGGAAAAAAATTCTGTGTACTGCAGTAAACCGTATCTAGTCACAGGCTACATATTGATATTGCTTCCAGGGAAACATGGCGTAAGTATGGAGGCAAGCTGGGAGGTTGGGATGCTACTGAAATTACATAAGAGCAATAAAAACAAGTCTACATCATAACAAACACTCCTGATCACTCACTAATCATCCTTCATTAGCAATCTACAACTGATTCAAATAATCAGGTAATCCCTCACAACACTATGAATTAAAATAACTATAAAGCAGGACCTGAATAGTACCCGAGTGAACAGTGAATATCTGTGCTACAGATGGCGGCCCTTATTTGTCAGTGGTGCCTGAGGCAGAATGTTTTGCCTGATCGCTCAGGCTGACACTACTGCCACATTATTCTTCCTCGTTTCTGTCAAACAACTCTTTGATATCAAATGGACTGGATGGAGTATTTCTTTTCCTGGGTTCCAGATATTATGTAACAGTAAAATTTTGAAATGCTTGTTACCATGGAAGATGGTTACACTACAGCACTATCTGAAGAAAGCTAGCAGCTACAACAGGAATGCAGGAAAATATAGGAGTAGGTCCAAAGCAGCGTTGCAGCACAGCAGTGCATGTTTCATACCAATGCTTTCCAACCCTTGTGTCTAGTTATTCGGCCGCAGATCAGCAGCTAAAGTGCAGTGCAAAAGTGTCAAGCCACCCATCATTTCTTTATATTTTGCTAGGGGGAAAAAGGTGATTTTTTTTAAACATGCAAATAGAAATAGAAATACGCTACATTGGTCAGAGGGCCCGGTGGCGTCAGTGTTCGGCAGCCTCGCCTCTCTCAGTGCGCCCCAGGGTGGCTGTGGGTACAATGTAGCTTGCCATCACCAGTGTGTGAATGTGTGTGTGAATGGGTGGATGACTGGATGTGTAAAGCGCTTTGGAGTCCTTAGGGACTAGTAAAGCGCTATACAAATACAGGCCATTTACCATTTATATAAGACACAAATGTAGTTTGTACAGTTCTAATAAACTTGAGAGTTAGTATTTGGTATGATCACCTCTAAGTACTTTTCAGGAATAGTTCTCCGGGCTTCTTGAAGGACATTCAAAGCTTTTCTTTGGTGTTTCTGCCTTTTGTTATGTTCTCTGTCAAAATGATCCCACACTGCTCCCACACATGTTGAGGTGTAAACTCTGGGGAGACCAATCCATGACTGTTGGTGTTCCACGGTGTGTTTCTTTTTATCTAGGCCTGCTTTTACTGCACAGGCAGTGTGTTAGGGATCATTATCATGCTGAAAAATGAAGTCGCTGCCGATCAGACACTCAAGATGAAATTACATGGTGGACCAGAATCTGACAATATTTTTCTGTGTTCATAATTTCATCAAGTTTTGGAAGATCTCCAACACCACTGGCTGAAATGCAACCAGAAATCATGACCGAGACTCCACTGTGTTGTACAACGGCTACAGTCACTCAGTGTTGTACTTTCCTCGCCTCTAAATCTGCTGACGATAAGTTGAACCAGAAATTTAAAATATGGATTCCACTGGCATATCTGAGTTTTTTGTCCCTGTTAACCTTCCTTAAGAATGGCTTTCCAAAGAAAAACTCTGAGAACTATTACTCAAGATTACTTTAACGAATTAAAAGAGGCAAAATATTTTTTAAAAAGAGGGGTCGCTGAAGACTTTTGCACAGTGCTGTAAATTTGCACCAACAATCATAACATTGTCTTAAAACCCAACTGAATATAGTATGTTATGTAGCAATTGGTAAACAGTAATAAGGGAAATTTCAGTGGTTTAATTTTTGAAGAACAGCATGAATCTGTAAAAGAAAAGAAAAAAAAGCAGAAGGAAATACTTAGAAAGGCACATCATAGGTGCGCATTTACCTTCAAGACCATACGAGGCAGTAGAGGCAGCGAGGCCATCAGCTAAGTGGAAAACAAGCAAGATAAAATAGGAAGGGTGAGGGAGTAAGAACAGGGTGTCAAAATAAAACGAGACTTAAGTGTTAAAAAGAAGAGAAACAGAAAAACCTAGTGAACAGACACCGATTTAAAGCTTACAACACGAGAATCTATGAGTAAGTCGTGCACTAGTTAAGTCTGAAAGGACGTAGAAATCTGATAAGTCGCACACTTTAGTTGAATTCTAGACGTTTCCAATCACACACCACAATGCGGGTTTCATTACCATCTGATAGAGACTCATAATCATAATCATAGTCGTCTTCTTCTTCTTCCTCTTCCTCATTGGCATGATTGTTGGGTGAAGTCACTCCTGGAGACCCGTTGCTTGCTTGGGCTTGCATGTGGGCGAGCTGGTGAGCCTGAGAAAGGGGTTAAAATAAAAATACTAATAAAAAAAATAGAAAATTCTACTTTGAAAGCATATATATAAGTGCCTATGCACACAGAATCTATACTGTAGATATAAGCATTTTTCTTGCTTGAAAGTTATGATGGGGTGAACCTTTTAGCACAGCTCCATCCATTATTGATGTTTGACTGCACTCTAATGACAAACAATGATAGATGTTTAAGGCTCTGGAGCTACCTGGAAGGTTCTTATATTATTTATGAAATTTGAACAAGTTTTGCTGACACAAATGTGTGAGGAAGATGCGTTTCTTCTTCACCTTCTGCTTGAGTATGTCCACCGGTGCCTGATGGGCTTTGAGTTTCTTGTTCTTGAGCAGTATCCTCCCTCGAAGCTGCAGCGGCGATGGTAAATGAGGGTCATCGTTGAAGTCGCTTTCGAAAAGGAAGCGCGTCACAAGGCGTTCGCCGAACACAGTCTAATTTAAAAACAGAAAAAATTAATAAAAACCACACCATCAGGAAAGTCAAGTCGAGTGCTAAGAGAAGCATCAAATGAAAGAGGCTGCGGAAGAATCTTCCAAATACAAATAAAGTAATTTTATCCATGCAAAACAACATTACAAATAAACAAAACCATGGTGATGTTAGCTGGCCTGAGGCACAGAGCTGTCTGCAGATAAAGGAATTTCCTTTATCAAGCTACTCAGAAGTCAGTCTCCAAGGAGGATGAAACGCTCGGAAGTCTTGCGAGATGAAAGCACAATGATATTCCACGATATAGCTGTTGTGCCAAGATATCTGTGGGCTTCATAATTTAGAAAAAAAAGATGAAGAAGAAGAAGATGAAAGGGTCATTTGCGCCCTGAAGTTCATAAAAGCAAGCGTCTGGACGCTGGCCAGTTTGAATGCCCAGAACAGCTAGAGAAAAAACAAGGGTCAAGGAAATCAAATGAGTGGAGTCGTACAACAAACAAGCCTACTTGAAAGGGAACGTTATTCCCTAAATATAAAGGATAGAATAGCTGAACAAGGAGCATGGCTGCCAAACTAAGGATTTTAGTTCCTCCTATTTTATTGTTGTTTATTTTTCCCTCTGCCACAAATTAGTGTCGCTCTGAGATTTAAACAAAGACAGACGAAGCTTGTAATTGGGTGAATTTATAAGTTACCTCACAGTCACGCTATGAGATGTCCAATCCAATTGAAAAGAAGTTTTCGTTTTTATCTGCTCAGTGGCATTCTCATCTGTCTCGCTTACTAATCAGTAACTGGAAAATTAAATTAAAGACACACAAGAAACACAGTAACTCTAAGGACAGAGACAGGACTAGGCTGCCTTCATACCTTGAAGATTTCAGCCATCTTTCGTTGCTGAGGAAGGGAGCAGTGGTTCTCTATGGACAGGATGACGGGCATATCAGAATTGACAAACGCAGACCGGTTAATTGCTTCCACCACATCCTGAAGGACCACGGGAGAGAAGATGAAAAAGAAGAAATTGTCGATAAAAGCACTGCAAGTCAAATATGTGACAATAAAATTCAAACGGCTTTGGGTAACAGCTTCAAATTAGATGCAGCTGTAGGCCCCAAATCAGATTACATAAAATAAATAACGCTGACACAATTCGTTTAGCTTTCTCTGGATCCGTCACCCCTGAGTCTATCATAAGAGAGCACTTGTGTTTAAAGATACAGATTTTGTTCAAGAGGCTTCCACCGAGTCCATGAGATGAGGTATGGGAGCAGAGAGCCAGCGACTGATGCCCCAACAATCTATTTCCCCTTTATGAATTAAATTATTCATGTGCATTTCAAACCTTAAAGGGTATCTTAGTGGTGAGTGTGTGGCCGTGGTAAATAACAGGCATGCCATCGTCTCCGTCCCAGCAGTCCAACTCGACGCTCCTACAGCCTTGCAGGAGCACCTAAGCAAACGAGACGTTCACAAGTAAGCGGCAGTTTTCAACAAACCGCTCAATCTCAGCGGGCTTGGTTAAAAAACAATCCGGCTTACGTGGCTGTAGAGCTCAACAGAGGACTCTCCTTTGAGCTGGTGCCCAGTCAGATAGGTGTTATGAGAAGACTCGATGTAGTAGTAAGACAGAGGGTATTGCAGCTCCTCTGGATTCATCTGAGATTCCTCATTACGTGAAGCAAAGTTGTCCTTGTCCATCAGGAACCTGATATAAAGAGAAAGATGCCAACAACATGCAGTGAAGCATGTTAAAGAAAGAAAATTAAAATAAAATATAAAAGCAAAATGCATCACTGAGGCTGTATCAGCGATACACAAACTCATTATGGTGTAAATAAATGTTTAAAGTCCAAAAGGGAGTCTGTAGAAGTTTAGCACTTATCAAGAGCTACCCCCTTAGGCTTCCTACAACAGTGACAACGTTTATGTTGTGCTCTATACATTTACATTTTCATGCACTTTGAAGTATAATGATCTATGATGACTCCTATTTTTCTATACCTTGCAAAACCTTCAAATGACATCCACCCCATTTGTCTCATGCTTGATGAAGGCTCAAATTTCTGCAAGAGAAAAAAATCGGTGAGTTCCTTTTCCCTTCTTTTTCTTCCTTCACCTTTCCCCCTGACCGTGAAGATGATTTGAAATTGTGAATTTAAGAATCCAGACTTTACCTGTATAATACTGAGAATCTCATCGTAGCTCAGGTTCTCTCTCTGACAGTTGACTAAAAAGTCATTGAGCTGAGGGATAGCCAGTCCCAAGACGCCTAATGACGCGTTCTCCACCCCCGTCCCGTTGGTCACAATGCTCGCTGCTGCGATGGCATCTGAAATCTGCTTCTGGTTGTCGGACATCTGCTGCCTGGTCCGGATAAACAGGCCGAGATCCGACCCGTTACGAGTTAGCAAGTCTACAGAGGAGAGGGAGAGATTTAGAGTAAAAGAGAAAGAGGTGTGTATGTTTTTGACTTCTGTAACTTCTCTTTGATCTTTTACCAAGGTCTGGCTGCAGTCCTGTGTCGTTGTCATCTATCCTGAGGTTGGTGTAAACAGGACATGATTCTGGGCTTGAGCGGCTGCAGGGGACAGCAAAGGTGTCAAACAGCTCCTTCAGGTCCTTCCTGCTTCGGATACTGTTGAAAAACAAATTACAGAGTGGAGTCCAGTTTTAGCAGCAGATCATGTCCCCATGCCCCTAGTATATTAAATTAAATTATTATATAAAGGGTTTTTTATACATATACCGTCACAATGGAAGATTCTCAAATCAAACATGAGTTTCAAATAGTAAGTGTAGACGCAAGCAATCCCTGTGAGCCAAAAGCTCTGGCTTATCTGTATAATGTCAATAAGTGTGGATATCCCTAATATGGTCAGGGGAGAGAAGCTTGTGTCAGACAGAAGATGAACTTGGGAGTTGCTCCAAGAGTAAGATATAAGGATTAATTCCAATTGTGAATCATGCAAAGCTACTCTAGAGTCTAGGGGGAAAAAATATGTAAATGGAAATCAGAACAATAGCTCTTCTTTAATTTTCAGCTTTGCAGCCATGCCACTTGAACTGGGGAGGAGGTGGCCACCCAATCAGAAATACATTTATCTGCCTCTAAATTTCTTTTACAAGAGAGAGTTTAAAGAGTTGCCCAAGAGCTTTTGTCTTTATAAGAAATTAAAAGAAATCTGCTGGGCAGCAGATGAGAGGACACTCTGCAATCTAAGAAATGCAGAGGGGCTAAAATTAAAACAACCCTTTGCTTGTCTGGGCGAAAGATGTGTGTCCATCCATTTGACTGGGGAAGAATTCATGCAAGCTAAATATTATGAAGAATGCTTGGAAAATGCCCTTGGCACGATAACCTTGAGAGGTATTTTTTATTGCATATGTTTTATCACTGTCTTTAGCTGCTATTGATAAGAACAGTAGTTATATAACAAGAGGGCCTGAGCTCCAAAAGCACTGCACAGGGCATGTGCAGTATGTGATATGACATACAGCATATGTGAACATTGAGTCATTACACTTAGCTGGAAAAACGCATTTTTAGATAAAACAGAAGTTATATTTAAATAGTCAGAACTTGAACTGAATGAAGCCAGCACGGCCGACATCTCTTCCTCTGCTTTGGAAACATGAAATCTTATCAAAGCGCACCAGAACTGTAAGAAACACAAGGTCCGATCATTTACCTGAATGATTTGAAAAGCTCGACAAACTCGATGAAGCTCATTGTGCTGTCAGAAATCATGAGATTCTGAAAGCCTTTGAAACAGCCTTTACCCCGGCCGTGCCACGATCTGCTGCTCCATGCCCTGCAGGCCCCAAAGAAAAGGAAACATATATTCGCTGGGATGGAAAAAATAAAGTGTTAGACGTCAGTGGGGTCAAACTTGCCCCGCTACAGTCATTTTTCACATACCCCGGCTGGGATTTAGCATTTCCCGAAAGGATTGGAGAAGACTGCGGACGGGTCTGGTTGGACCCTGCCATGCTGGAGGAAGAGGAGGAAGAAGAGGAAGAGGATAGCAATCCGGGGCTTTTACTGGATGAGAGGGAGAGTGGTCCGGGGATGCTGTCTTCTGTGGAGGCAAAGAGTGTTGAGTGTGAATAAAGATCACACAGACAGAAAATTATAAGATCTGAAGCATTTGGTCGGGTTTCTAGAAAACACCAATTAAACTGATCTGGCCTTGTAACTTCTACATGTTACCATGAGTGAGGTAACGTCACCTGGATCTTCTTGGTCGATGCTGTCAGACTCTGGTCCGTTTCGATACAGTCCTTCTTTACAGCTCCGTGTTTTCCTGGAAACCATCTCGTCATCGGTTGCATCCCCACTGTCTCCCTGTTAAAGGTGTGGGGGAAAAAAAGA